AGTTCCCCAGATCGTTCACCACTAAAAGCCAGGAGCATGTATAGTTGGAAGGAGCTACCTGCACCCTCTTTTCTTATTTTCCTTATGAGATGCTTTTGGTCACTGAGACAGAGGATGTTGGACAAGATGGAAATGTACTGGCCTGTTAGTGTGAGTTTCTAGCTATAAATTGTAGTTGACTGATAAAAATGCTAGTGAAACTATTGGTCTTCGTGATTACAGTCTTGTTCTTGACTTCCACTGTCTTCTCTCATTGTTGCCCTCTGCCCCCAACAAAAATGTGCACAGACAAAGGAGCTAGAGACATTTGTCATTTTGCAGTTTTGGACATTGAAAAGAGCCCACTTTTCACCATAATATTGATGCTGGCCCCCAGAGAGATATTTTACTTGCCAGGGAATGTGATTTCACTCCTCTGCAGGAACACTGAATCGACAGTTGGGCTCTCACACTTTCCAAAGCAGAGCTTAATAACTGTTCAAACTTTCTTTTTCAGGAGGATACCATTTCCATTAACCACAACTGGGTGAATGGCTGCAATGTGGCCATAATGTGGTGCTTCCTGCAGGATGAGTTAGCAGCTGTCCAGCGAGAAATCAATGAGTGGAAGGACCCTATGGACGACTGGCACCTACAATGCCAGGTATAACAGGCAGTCAGACAGCCAACATGGTGTTATTTAGAGGATCTGCCTTCTGGGCATGCAGTGCACCACCTTATTAGAGCTCTAAGACATTCAAGTCCTTAACCTCACACCTGGAATTGGTGCACATTTCTGAATGAACCAGAAACCAATGACAATTTCATTTCTTAAGTCATGAAATACTGCTTTAGTAAAATAATGGAAGGCTTGTGTCAGTGCATATTTGCTATGTCAAGGAAGTTAGGATGTTGGCTGGAAAATTAACACTTCATCTGATGTTTCTCCATCATTGAGGTTAGCCTTAGCATAAGATCAATCACTTATGTAGAATCTATGTTCTGTTGCAAGGTGCTATTTTCAAAAAGCATAAATAAATTGACCAGGGTTCTATCTTATATGCTCCCAAGCCCTTAAGTGTGAAGCAAATGTAAAGTTTATTTCTGGAGGCTGTCCAAAAATAGCATCAAAACAGCAGCCATTTAGTAGTACAAATACCAGTATTGCTTTGGGGGCTAGTAAGGTTTCTGGTAAGACAAAGAATATTGGTGCTATTATTCATCAAGGAGTTACAACAAAGTTAATTAAAGATGATTAAACTTACTCATGATTCCAGATAGTAACTAGCTTAATACAGTTGTTTCTTAATTCTTACCGTAAATAAAAAGGAATTGCTTCCTTTTCAAAACTGCTTCTTTTCTTTTCCCCCTTAGTTGATCATGAAGTCTTGCACGGGTATAGACTATAAGGAATTCTACAACTTCCTCAAAGTCATTGCAGAGAACAGGATTTCTATCTTGGAAAACGGCCTCGATGATGAAGCTTTAGCAAAGAACACCCCAAAAGCTGCCATCTCCACCTTGGGCATGCTCCACGCAGTGTTTGATTTAAAGAGGACTGTGAAGGTGCTAACGTCATTGAGTGCTAATGAAGATTTCAAGAAACTAGACCTCACGTCCCTTTCTCCACCTCCTGAGGCATTGCTCCACCACTTGAAAGCAGCAATAGATACAGCACTGCTCTAACTTCCTATTTATTCAGTTCTTTATAAAATGAACCTTTTACAAAATGAGTGTTTCTAGAAGAAGGACTCCTCCCTGTTTAACAGCTGTTGCAGTTTAAGTGCAAAGAGCCTTACTATAGCAGAGAGAATACATTCCTAGGGGACTAAATACTTGAGTATCTAGAATTATAGTACAGAAAAAAAAAAGGAAAAACCCAAGTAATGTTGGTGTTGTAGAGACTGATAATAGAGCCCTGCTAAGTGAGGATGCATTCAGTGAAGATGGATGAAAATTCCATGTGGAACAAGCTTGGGTCTGGCAGGGCTGAGCACCAGAATTACAGCAGTCTGCAGCATGATTCCCTGTTTCTGAAAGCACCCCACCTGTACTGCAGGCTCCAACACTTAATCTCTGCTGTCTCTTATCACGACCTCATTTTTTTAAACCTGTCCTGCTTCATGGAGCAGCTCAGACCTTTTCCACTGTAGAGGATTCTTGTTATTTAGCTCTTGTGAAGGCTGAGCTGGCTCCACAGCTATAGCTTAGATATGCAGGAGCCCTCTACTAGTCTCCTGTATAGGGGCAGCCCTCTACAGCTGAATGTCTCTGATAGCCTCAGCCTTCATCCTACTTCAGGCTTGGCAGGATTAGTTTTAAGAGCCCAGGAAGGCAGAATCCTGATAGCAGTTCTACCAGTAATAATTTACCTTGTGATCCACGCAAGCTCCAGAGCAGAAGCATGAATGTACTCTCTCCTTGCTATATTTGACTTCAAGGCTCAATATTTTTAAGAAACAAAGACTTGATTAATCAGGGAAGCTAGCAAGTAGCCTCGTATTATCTAGTAAAAGAAAAAGCCATGCTTTAAACACACTCCAAATAGCACTGCTGCATGGTTACAGAGCACAATTTACAACCTGAATACTACCCTTGGGCTGAAAAGGGAAAACATTTCCAGAGAACTATCCCTCTTGCTGTTATGGGTCAGTAAGAAAGCACAAATGGCTGCATACTGTTAACGTAGTTGCCTCTTAGGGCTCACTTGAATTATTGATCCCAATCTTCCTCACTTCTCAACCAGACGACTAGTAATAGCAACTTTGTGTTTAGAAAGTGCAATATTCAAAGTCTTTAGTAGGCTGAAGAAAAGGCATTGTTTTTCTAGATAATCTTGTGGAGTTTTGTACAGTGCATGCATTTTGCATGTCATATTTTGTAGATGTTCATCATAGTGAATAGGAAATGGTACCTGAAGTGAAAAATCAATACTCAGGGCAGGGAGGAATGGAGTACAAAGAAAACATTTTTAACAGCTCTGACTACATCTCAGTGATTCCACCTTCTGGCAAGGTGTTCCTTTGGACTGGAAAATGACCAGTTTTAAGCACTTCTGAAATTAAATGTTCACAGCTGCCACTTATGGCTGTTTACATTCTCAAAGAGAGGCAGCTGGAGCGTTTTCCTTCCTTACAAGAATAAGATGATATTTCATAAGAGGTTTTACCAGGCACGGCCGTTAAAGCAGACAATCAGGGTGCTTGTAGGAAAGCATGTTATTTTTTGTCCTGTATTCCCCAGTCTCACTGCGTGCTGTGCAACTGATACTGGCACCAACCCCCTCTGCAAACCAGCATCTCCAGCTCCAATGATGTGACAACCCTCCTTCACAAGGCCTGCTACCTCCTAGTGTGATCAGTGGTGGAAAAATGCATGAGGTGAGCTTAAAACTTAAGGCAGTTTCTCTTTATTGATGCTGTAGAAGCATGGGAGAATCATTTGAGAGCTCAGCCGTGACTTATCAAGGCATCCAGATGTTCCAAGGACCAGGAGTGGAAGGGAAAGTCGCAGAATGCTCAGAAGACAACCAAGATATTGAAAAAAAGACTATAGGCAAACCTGGAATCTCTCTTAAAAACTAAATGGTTTTATTTAAATATAAAGTTACTGTAAAACATACAAGAAAAATACTCTCATACCAATATATTAACTATTATAACCAGTGTATTATTTATTAAAGCAAAATACTTGTGATAAACAGGAGGAAACAGTCTGTAGAGTTTTGGGGGTTGTTTTTTTCCTCTTTTTTGTTTATTTGTTCTCTTTTTTTTTCCCCTGAAGTTAAAACCTGTACAATTTAAAATAAAATAAACCCTAGTTCAAAAGAGCTTTTGCTCTACCGAGCAATTCATTCTTTAGTATTTTCATCTGAGAACAGCAGGCTTTCCCAATACCCCTTTGCCTTTTATAAAGGCATTATATTACAAAAAGGCTAATTCCAATGTGGTTTGTACCCCAGGGGTGGCAGTGGAGGGTCTGTCAGCACAGGCCTGTGCCCCAGGAGGACCCAGGACCCATCACCCCTGCATCCATCCCTCGTAGCCTCTGCAGAATAACCAGGCAGCACCAGCGTGTTCAAGGTGCCAGTGCGATATCCCTGAGATCAGAGAGGATGCTGCAGAGCATAAATACACATTTACAAATATCAAAAATAGTCAACAGCAGCTTTACGGTGCAATGGAGAGGTACTGAGTTCGGCACAGTTAGGAAGAAGAATGGAAAGATTCTTCTTAGTGACATGGGGAAAACCTCCATGCTCCACAAAATTGGTCATTTGTAGGCACTGAGGGAGCTTCTCATGTCCTTGATGCTTTCCTACCAACCAAAAATGGAGATCCACTATAGCAATTCCGGATTTGTTTTATTGTTTTCTATAAAATAACCTCTTCCTTATGTCAGTTCACCAGTGCAAAAAAAAAAGAAAAACAAAAAACACAGCAACTGAGAGAACAGCTAACTGGGATTTCCAGGGAAGGAGGCAGATTGCTGTTTACAGGAATGCAAGATAAAGATTCAAGGCAAAAGAAACCTTGCCCAATTTCGGCGGAGATTTCCGAGTGCAAGCTGAGGTTGCATATCAAAGGCTGGGAGCCAACAGCATCTGCATGTCCGGGGTTTACATTCTCAGCTGGTCCAAAAGAAAACCTAGCAAACCTTTGTCCTACCTTTACGTAAAAGGTCAAAATAAAAAATAAAATAATAAAATAAAAAAATCAATAAATCAAAAAAAATCAAAAATTAAAATCAAAAATAAAATCAAAAATAAAAAAATAATTAAAAAAAAACAAAAATAAAAATAAAATAGTAGGTCTAAGTTCACCAAGGGAAGAATTTCTGCAGGAGAATTTTGGCAGGGACTAGCACATGCTCCCACAATAACACAGAAACCCTCATCTGAAACACAGTCATTTTCCCTTTCCAAAAGGCCACCCAAGACGGTAGCGACTCGGTTGCTTCTTCATCCACCAGCGTCTGGTCAGCAAAGTGCAGGAGGGAGAAGGGACCCGCCGGGCTCCCGCTCAGGGGCTGGGAGTCCCGTGGCAGTTCTCCCTCTGATGGAGACGCATCCTCTGAATGTGTTCGTAGCACGACTGGGCAAGGAACAGAACAGCTCGTTAAGGAAAAGGGTTTGTGCCCAAATTTGGTTTCCTGCATGTCTAGTGGAATTCCACCGCCTCCCACCTAGGCTGTGCGGAAAACTGAATCTGCACTTTGCAAGTTAGTGATGAGCACGGTCTATGGGCTAGGAGGAAAATAACCTTCTGCATTAGGCCTGCAAACACCCTTCTAATATTAAATGGGGCTAAAGAACATCAGTGTCTCTATACTACTTTTGCTACATCCGCAAAATATTGCCATATCCTTGCAATTTCCAAAAGGACTTTAGGTTATGACTTTCTATCTGCCTGGATCCCTCGCAGGAAACCTGGTCCCCTCTGGAAGTTCTTGCAGGCCGGACAATTTTGACTGCAAAAAATCCTTTCGTTTTGTGTATTAGATAGTTTCCAGTCTCATACTGACATTGGAATTCCTGCTCAGGAGAACCGGATGGACCTCACTGCCTTTGAGCTTCCCTATTGCATTACCGGTGGCCTCTTCTCTCCAGGAATGAAAATCCCACAATATCTTTGGACAAAGAACTTTTTTTTTTGTTCTATCATCTGCCTGGATCCCTCGCAGGAAGCCTGGTCCCCTCTGGAAGTTCTTGGAGGCCGGACAATTTTGACTACAAAAAATCCTTTAGTTTTGTGTATTAGATAGTTTCCAGTCTCATACTGACATTGGAATTCCTGCTCAGGAGAACCGGATGGACCTCACTGCCTTTGAGCTTCCCTATTGCATTACCGGTGGCCTCTTCTCTCCAGGAATGAAAATCCCACAATATCTTTGGACAAAGAACTTTTTTTTTTGCCCTCCCTTCTACTATTTTAAGTTTTTCCTACTGTGTCTTGGAACTGTCACCGTCAAATTTTCCCTTACCTCCAGTGCTGTTAGCAGAAAATCATAGAGTCCTCCTTGATTGGTGGGGTCCATCAAGTCTCTGATCAGATGGATTTCAGCTCCCAAGTGCTGTATTCTAGAAGAAAACAAAAAAAAAAAAAAAAAAAAAAAAAGCAGTCACAACCCATTTAACACATCTCTGGGCACCAGCCATTGTGGCAGTGCATTTGAAACCGGATTATGGAGAGGTGGAAGCATGAATCTGGAAGTCCATCCTCCTGAGATCCTGTATGACCGAATCTCCGCAAATATATTTGGAAATTTTCATAAGAAAATTTTAAATCCTCCATTTTACATACTCATGGCCCTTCCCCATCATCTACAGTGGAGATAAACATAACCATAACCTAACATAAAATGCAGTATCTACCCAATAGGAGTGTCACACACACAAAAAACGCTTCTAGATTTTGAGCCCAGGCCTCAGGTTTCACCACTTCACCTTTTTTGGGCACCAGAGACATGCAAAAAGCCAGTAAAGGACTTTGAGTCAGATTTGCCAGAAAAAAAATAGACACAGTTTCACTTTATTGCATGTAAGCAGGTTGCTGCAAGTTCCAGAGACAGCAGCACAGACACAGCCGCTCTTTGCAGACATGTGCTACCTTTACAGCCATGCCTACACAGGAAGAATCTCATTACTAGGTGCTCAACCAGTCTCCAAAATGAACAATAATTTTTGAATGCAAAGTAAGGGTTTTCTCTATAGGTTACAAAGAGAGAGAGACTGATTTCCTTTAAATCAGAAATCAATAATGAGTCAAGCTCCATCCACTCCACTCTTCAGACAAGGGAAAAAACAATCCAAACGCCTTTACTATGTACTTGTATTGTATTTACTTGTATTTACTTGTATTTGTATTTACTTGTACTTGTATTTACTTGTTTCCTCCGCAAGGGAATGAATACACCTAGTCCCTCCAGGAAGGGCAGCAAGGAGAAGAATCCAACCACTAAACGCAACCACTCCTGCTGAAACGCCTTCCACATCTCTCCTTGGAGGACACTGTTAGGAGAAGCGTGTTCAAACGCAGCCCCTAGGTTTTCACGAAAGCCATTTTGCCTGGAAACACGGCTGGCTTTTCTCCAAGCAGGACCCCACACGGCAGTGGGAATGGGAAATGAAAACTTTTCACTTACTTCGCTCGGGAGACCACATACATCAGCAGCGGCAGCAGGTCATCCATGGGGAGCTTGTAGTCCTTCTCAACCACGCGGGACACCGTGCTCTCTATCTCCTCATACGTCTTCTGAAGGATCACCAGCTTTTCCCGGGGATCCACCGTGGTGCTGTGAGTGGGGAAGAGCCAAGTAAGAGATGCTCCTACTGCAGAGGCCAAGCAGCCGGTACCAAGAAACTTCAAAGCAGAGCTTCACACTAAATGTACTCTGCTTTGCTCCACTGTTATCTCCGTGTAAGTTGGCTAACCCACACTAGACATAGTCCTGACTTTCCTGGGGCAAAATATTTCTCTCTGTAGAAGTTATGATTCAAAAAAACAACAACAAAAAATCTTTATATGTCTTTACAAGCTTATTTAAACTTGCAATTTAAACTTGTAAAAAGGTGTAAAGTTCCATCATTTCCCAGAACGCAGGAAATCCCCATTAGTTCCGACTGTCAATAGGAGTTTATGGAAAGGGACTTACATCAGTTTCTGCAGGCACTCGGTAGCAGACAGGAAACACTTGTCCTTGACAAGGGAGCGCCTCTGGAAGGACGACAGGATTACATATTTCAGGACCATCAGTAACACCTTGTTTAGCTTTTCCGAGTCCCTTGTGCCCATCTGTAGTTGCTGGTACCCCTTGAGTAATTTAGGTGCAGCTCCATCACCAACACAAGCTCCCAAGGCTAGCTTTTAAGACTATTTCTTACCTGGTTAGTTGTCAGGGTGAGATCTTTTAGAGGCCATAAATGTCTGAAAGGAGATTAGAGAGAAGATTTAAAAGGCATTTAAGTCTTAATTCCACTCTTAACTATTTTTTCTTCTCATTCAAGATGACGTGAAGAGCCATGTAGGTGCTCAAGGCTGAGTTTTCTCCTGTTATTAATCTTTCCCATAGCAAGGTAACATTTCAGGCTCATCGGCCTGAGCACAGGATTCATTTCACTCACAAATGCTCCTCTAATAATCAGTGGATGTTGAGCTACTTTCAGGTGCAATTCATCTCACTGAATCTAGACTGAGCCAAACTGACTACAGACTCCAGATCTCCTGGAGCCTGCTCAAGCTCTTGAGCTATGGATTAGATTATGCTGGAAAGCACCACATGCCTCGAGTTCAAGCCATAAAGCCCTTGCATATCACACCCAGAGATGGATCTCACTGCAGGAATGGGTGAAGGAGATATCTGGCTCCAGAACTTTCTCCCTCTCTTCAGGCTGAGCACCCACAACTGTTGCAGCAAACGGCAGCCTATAGGAACACTAATAATCTTTACCTGATTGCTCTTGAGCTGGAACAAATCAGTGTTTTGTGAATTAGTCAAGAAGATTTTTAGTAAAGGAAAAGGAGGCCAAAAAAAAAATAAAAACCAACAAACATAATAGCATCTTTCCACTACTTGGTGATGAACTTCCAGGCACAGTATTGCAGGTGCTCCATGGCAAGATTTTGTCCTGCAGGCTGTGAAAAATCTCAGCTCCGCAGCTGACATGGCATGTGCTGAAGAATTAAAATGTTATAACATCCCTGCCCTGACATCAGAGCTCTCCCTGGTTGCCAGCTTCCCATCACAAGGCATGCATCCACAGATGAAAAAAGCAACTCACTTCTGCACATCCAGAAACTCTAGCAGCTTGATGTCAGGAAACAGACTTAGGTCCACGATCCCTTGGCAGTAGAGATCATCTTCTCTTTCATGATAGAGCATGTAGAGCATGAAGAGCTCGGGGTAGAAGCATGGCAGGATCAGAGGCAGGACTATACTGCATGCCTTCTGGTCGCTAGAGCAGAGAGAAATGAAGCAGTGTCATATAGTGATGTCTTTAACCTTGATATTTCCAAAAGCAGGGGCCACACAGGACACAGTGGAAAAGCCAGCTTTGAGATTGCAAGGTTGACCTGTTCCCCCACCTCCTCTTCTTGAGTTCAGGGTCATGGTTGGTAATGAGCCCTATGACACTCTTCTGTATGTCCACAGGTTGAAAATACAAACACATCTGAAATTGTAGAACAGGACACTGTTCCACTGTTTTTCCAATAGTGCTACCTACATCTAAGTCTCCTGACCACTGGGAGAAACCTGGAGCACCAGAGACCTTTTTCCAACTGTTCTTGCTGAATTCTTTCAGTAGGGTAGGTATTTCTTACATGGAGAAGTGCAAATGAAATCAGACCGAGCCCTTTTCCAGCTATTTACCATTTCAAACCCTTGAATGGCTGCAAATTACCCAACCCAACCCCCCTAAACTAGGTCTTCCACAGTTATCCCTCCTTTCCTATTCAAGGATACCAACAAGTTGTACAGACAGCTCCTGACAAATATGAACAGTTCAGCACTGAATGTAATTCAGAAGCACCCTATAGGCCCAAGCAGCTTAAAATTAAAAAGCCTGTGGTAACACCTACTTCACCTCTCCATCCACACACTTTGTGGGCAGTTGGCCTTTCTGTTCCAGCGCCAGACAGAGCAAGCCCCTGGAAAACAAGCAGAAGCATCATTTAGTTCCCCCCTTTATTTAGTTTTAGAAAAGTAAAGTTGATAGAAATTTGCAAGTATATTTGGGTTTGGAGGCTTCCTCTTTTCTTCTGCATCAAAGCCCAGGATTAGTAGAGTCTTATACATTATCTCTAGCTCCAGAAGTCATACTTTAGCAAAGCATGTTTCACTATTTGAGGGTATTCTCTGTCAGCGGCAGAAGCTTCCAGAAATGCATGAGTGTTTTGAAGAATCTCTCATTTCTAAAGGGAAGAGTGCTTTAGAAAAGTAAAGTTGGGTAGAAATTTGCAAGTATATTTTGGTTTGAAGGCTTCCTATTTTCTTCTACATCAAAGCCCAGGATTAGTAGAGCCTTATACATTATCTCTAGCTCCAAAAGTCATACTTTAGCAAAGCATGTTTCACTATTTGAGGGTATTCTCTGTCAGTGGCAGAAGCTTCCAGAAATGCATGAGTGTTTTGAAGAATCTCTCATTTCTAAAGGGAAGAGTGGTTACTCTGGTAGTCATAACTCATTCTCATTGAGCATCAGCCCCTGGTATTCCCATGCAAAGGAGGTGAGCTTTCAGGACCTGTCATATGAGCCAATTCTCTCCTCCAATAACATTAGAGGATGTTTAGAATTCCCCTAATTAAAACAAGTCTCTGCTCTACAAAGATAGCTAAGAGATATCTTGGTATTTCCAAGCCAAAGGTGTTTAGCCTTAAAATAGAGGGAGTATTGCTGTTTTTGGTGCAGAAATATCAGCCGAGGAAACTTAGGGCCACAGCAGATAAGGTGCCTTTCCCTCCCCACACCACACCTGCAAGGTTTGGAGATATGAAGCAAGCTTTCAAACAGACACTATATCTGTAGAGCACAGAATAGCACTGTGGAGCTTTCAAACAGACACTATATCTGTATCTGTAGAGCACAGAATAGCACTGTGCAAAGGCCTCCTGCCCCTCACCTGTACTTATGCTCTAAATGAGCTTAGTTAGTGCAAATATATCTTTTATTTAGCACAGTTCTGCAGCAAGTCTCCCAAGAAATATGGTGTGAAATAAAGCAGCCCTTGCACCTTAAGAAATGATCCCACCAGCCTACTTCACAAGTCCTCCAGACTCACATCTCTTGCAAGCGCTGAACATGCTCAACTTACTGGTAAAACTCCCATATTTTCTTTGCGTAGTATTTGACTTCCTCCTGAGCCATAGTCAGCAAGTGTCTGTTGGCCCCAATCCCAGAATATGTTGCCTGAAAAGCGATCATCAAGGCCCTCAGCAGCTTTCCCAGTGGGTGCAGAGAAGACTTCAGTGCCTGCACAACAGAGAAGGAAAAATGAAGTTTTGCAAGTCAGCCCTTGCCATTAACAGAGAAGAACACTTAAAGGCAACTCATATGTCTGTTGCCTGCAGAGGAGGACAAGTCTAGTGGTAATCAGCTATAATCTTGGTCTATTTTTGATGCCAAAACCCCATCCTCCTCTCATTATTGGGCTTAAATGGCCTTAGTAGAAACAGCTGTGTTATATAAAGTTGCCATATCCAAGAGATAACCAAGAGTGACTCAGGGAATGGCTGAGTGCAAACCAGCCACCAAGACTGCATAGAATTTTGTTAAATATCTCTGGCAGCTGTTTATTCCCTGGCACACAGGGAACCAAGACTGAAGCTTTATCATCATTTGCTGTGCACAAAATGAGTCTCCAAGAAAGATAATCTCCTTTCCTCTCAAGTACAGCACATGTAATGTAGAGAAGGCAAGACTCAGTCATTGGCTGTTTTGCAGCAAGCAACAGCAAGCAAGAGGATGTACATCCATGTCTGGTGGACAGAGGTGGATCCTTGGGATGTTCAACCCTTACCTTATCTAAATAACAGTGTAGTGATGCCAGATCCTGGTGCTGAACTAGCTCTTCAAGAATATCTTCTGTCTTCCAGGATGCATCCTCAGCCCCTCTGAAAAGATGAGAGATGAGAAAGGAGTTATCCCTTTCCTCAGACTGTTCTTCCTACCTTCCACCCACATGTAATTCTACTATTCACATTCAGACTAGCCTTTCCTACCATGAAGCTTTAGCTTTAGCTGAATTTAGCTTTATTTAGAATGAAGTCTCATTTATAGGCTATAAACAATTAAGATGATTTTTAAAAATGCAGTAAAATATTTGGATAATTTCCAGTTGGTATTGCAAGTGGATACGAAGGGGAAATAAGACTCTTGGAACAAATGAGTTCTACTCCGCTCCCCTGAAAAGTATGTTTTAAACAGAAAAATCTCAGCTATCCATAAATTTAGATAATGACAGCTATTATCACCTTCCATACCTGGAAAATGCACAAATTCATAATTCAAATGCAAGGCAAATGCACACCACTATCCATACCAATGGACTCCTCTCTCTCGACAGCAGTATGCAATAATCACCTTTGGCAGAAGAGGTATTCCTGGGACTTCCGCAGCTCCTTGCTTGTTTGGATGTGGAAGCCTGTGAAAGACTCCTCTGTTTCCTCTTTGCAGCCAGAATGGATGAACTCCAGGAATTGGTCGTAGATTCCCTTCCATCTCTTCTCTACTGGGAACTCCGCAAGGCCCAGCTGACTGCACAACATGACATTACATTAGGCTTTTCTACCCCCTGCCTCTATTTTCTCTGTCTTCACATTCAGGTATGAAAAGTTGTGTTAATATACAGAGATATCAACACAAAAACTATGGGAGCAGAGAAATTTAGCAGTACCTAACTGGCATCAAAAGCCAATTGAAGCTTATTATCCCGGCAACAAAGTACTTTGGGGCATGCAGCATCCACAACCTGAAGCTTTGTGGATGAACCAATCACAGCTTTTTTGTTCCCCTTACAGATGTTTCTAAAGAAGAAGTCTTTAAGAGCCTGACCACGCTGCTCTCTTTCCTCTTCTCCTGCTATTTATTAGTATTTCAGATCAGCTCCTTCACACAAGGTCTGCTTTTATCCCTTTAGGGGCTGATCCAAGTTTTCTCTAGGTCCTCTCAACATACAAGCCAAAACCCAGGAAATCAGCTGCTGTTGCTCACACTTTGGTTATCCTGTCATCCAGCTGCTCATTTGATGTGTTCAGGATGCCTTGAGTCTGAAGGCCTTGGCCCGATTTGTTAGTAAAGGTTCCCTCCAGAATGAAGCCATTGGCAAATGACAGCTTTCCCTGCAACAGAAATAAAGGGTTATTTTGCCAAGATCTCATTAACGAGAGGAAACAGGCTGGACTGAGATCTCACTTTTCACAGAGCCATCACCTGAAACAGAACGATTTCCAGGACCAAGCTCTACATTTTCAGCATCTGAAGCAAATCAAAAATCATTCAGGTAGGAATCACTGGAGGCAACGGGTCAAAATACTAGCTATTAATTGGCATATACAGGATTCTGGAGAGGGACAGCCATCCAGTAAGTACCCAGAAATATAAATTACATTTACACTATGCTTTTCAACAAGTTTTCAAAATCCTTTTTGCATTATAAAAATCTCTGGATTAAATTTGTAGATGGTTATTTTTAACCTGGAACGAGCATATAAAGCTTCTATTTCTCCTGTGTTTTTCCTCTATTGGTTAAAACCACATGCAAGTTTGGCCTCACAGGTAGAAGGAAACATTTGATATTCACCATAAAAGTTTTCAAGAGCTTGCTGCTACCAAGAATAACCCTAAATTCTCTGGGGCAAATATGGGAGAAGGCATGCAGTAGCTTGATTCAAACTTAAAAGGTTTTAATTAAATTACTTCCCAAGCCAAATATTGCAACTAGTCTGGCTTAGAACATGAGCCTTAAACTCATATTGCTAATAGCAGGAGGCACCATAGTTTTAGATAAAGAACAGATTTTTCTAAACTAATTACTCAAAGTAAACATTAATTTTGGAGGAGGATGTATCAAACCTCTTCAGTCAGTCTCTGCAAAATCTGCCCTAAGTCTTCCGGCTTTAAATTACAACAAACTCTTCCTCCTAAATGACTAAATGACAGTGCTCACTTGCATTATTTGCGATCCTTAACCATCATCGAGTACCTATCTTGACATCTGCTCAGTTTGATTTAACCACACACTTCCTGTCAGAATTGCCATGGATTTCTGTAACGAGGTGGAGGACTAGTGTGCCCTGTTGCAGGGAAATTTATAAGCAGCTTGACCAAGTATTTCTGTTAAAGATAACTTCAAAATGTTCAGCATGTCAGTGCAATGGCCACATTGCAAAATTAAGCCTTTCAGATAAGGCAGCTATGTTAACATCTTAGTTACGTTAGCACAGCACTGGCTCTGCAATTCAATTTACTTTATGCATTGTTTCGCCATGCTCAAAGCCACTAAAAAGGCTGCAATATTGTTTTATGAACATAAAAACATCCCAAACCATAGCTGCAAAGTCTTTCCACCCCACTGACAAAACAAACAAAAATCCTTAAAAATCAAAGCAATGCCCAAAGCCCTCACTTCCCTGCTACTTGAAATCTCTCAGGTGCAACCTTAACAGGAAGACAAACACTTTCTTTTTTTCCAGAGGATCAAGAGAAATTGAAGGGAAAGGACATGAACTTTGAAGAAGAATCCCTCGGCCTTCTGGAAAGCTAGTGATGGTACAGAACAGCTGAGGTGAAAGAAACACTCACCTTTCCAACAAATGTTAGATCTTCCATGAAGTTTCCTTCATAGACAGAGTCATCTTCCAAGAGTAGAATCCCAGAACCCTATGTTTGAAAGCACAAATTTTAAGCATGACATGGACTTCCAACCTACTCTGTCCCATCTAGAAAGAGCAACGGGAGTGATTTATGAGGTACAGACTCTGAAAACCTTTTTGCAATTTAAACTTATCATCAGCAACGCTCAAGACAAAAGCACAGAGGTGCTCTAGAGATAACCGATTAGGTGTCATTGCACGGAATAGTAGTACCGGGCAATCAGGCAGTTTTATAGAAGACTATTACTACATTTATTTCCCTAGAAAAAGAAACTAAACACAGGTTCCTGCTAAAACAGGAGTCACCAAGAACACCATACAGATCAAACTAGTGGCCTTCCCCTATGACCTTGTGGTGACTCTAGCCGATTGTGTCATTTTTTGCAAGATGAATAAGAGAAAAGAGGAAGCGAGCTGCTATGTAGAATCTCTTTTTTTGTGTAGTCAACCTGATCTTAATGAGCTGCACTGAAACACTCATCAAAATGACTCCATTACTTCTCAACTCCCACACATGCTTACAGTAGACATTGCAGAGGAAGAGTGACACGATGAAGAGCAGACACAGGGTACTTTATATCAACAGGGAAGATGCTTTCTGTGGAGGCTTGGCCTGAGATTCAGGTCTGAAGGTTCAAATGCAACTATATCAGCCAGAAAACGTGGTCACTTTTAGAGCTCTAAGACGTTTTCCTCTGGAATAGTTATCTTGATGGAAAGTGCCCTCTCTGGCAACAATAAAAGGTTTCTAAGGGAAGCATTTTGGCCATACCAATTTTCCACTAGGAAAGCTAAAAGCAACTGCTCTCTACCCAGAAGCCTTGTGAAGTTAAAGGAGCCTTCAGCAGCTGGCAAGTCAAGAGAGTTTTATTTTGGTCCTCCACAAACGGAATTTTTATGGAAACCCCTTCTGATAAAGTTGCCATGCTAACCACTTTGTTCTAATTTTGCATAGTGTGAGAGGTGTTTTTTCTTTTGTTTTAAATCACATATTTTTTCATGAAAATAAATCCTTTTATTCCCCAGCCAGCTCTAACCATGCCAATACCTATTGCTTTCCACACCAACATATCAACTTTAATTCGTCTGGAGAACAGACTCGACATCGTTAAGTCCACCTTGGCAAGGCAAAGACTTTATAATCTCCAAGGCAGATTTAGTACCATAATACACCAGCACAGGAGATCCACTTAGTAACTGTGACCTAATGGTTCAACAACCAAACCTATAAGGTGTATCAGCACAAACAAGGAAAAGTGACAGTCTCATGTCCAGTTCCTAACTGCACAGAAGGCTCCAGCAGGTGCTAAGCAGCATATGATTTAATTTAGATCTTGTTCTTCAAAAAGCATTTTTGCAATAAACATCAATGCCTAAGCCTTGCTTTCTATTTTTCAACCTTATCTTGCCCTTGGTGGGGAATTTTGTGTCCCACTGATATAGAAAGTGCATTGAAAATGAGTACTCACCACCATTTTACCAGCATGGAATGTCCTCTGATAGCAGATTCCTGACTGGGTCACTACAATGCCTTGCCCATGTTTGTGATCATCATGCCACGTCCCTACGTACCTCTCCCCTCTGGAATTCAACAGAAAAGGATTTAAGGTTTTGCTCTGTTTTAACGCATCTTATTTGATTTTACATATCAGCTTCTGAGATGAACTTTAGTCAATAAAATGCTCCATGTAGCACTTACTGCACAAACCCAGTTCAGGTAATGCTTCCCCAGGATTTCAAACCCCTACAACAATCTGAACATCTCCTTCCTGTTCCAACCAAATGCCCCACAACGACACAGGAGTCTTTCCCTCCAAATAGAGGGA